GGGGCACAACAGTCCAGGGACAAGGACTAGAAGGCAGGAGGGGACAGGAAAGCTGGTGATAGGGAACCCAAGGTTGAGAAGGGACAGTGTTGATTGTCGTGGGGTTGTTAACCATTGTCATAAATCAATATGTGTACTAACTGTTTTATGAAAGACTATTCTGTAAGCCTTCATCTAAAGTACAATTAAGAAAAAAGATTTACAGCCTTGGAAACCCTATAGGGAAGTTCTGTTCTGTCCTGTCGGGTCACTAGGAGTCAGAATCGACTTGATGGCAGTGGGCTTGGGGAAAAAAAGAAGTCTACACTTTGACCCAACCCATTCATTTCAAGAAATTTAGTCTAAGAAAATAACAGCTGTACACAAAGATTTTTGTGTAAGAATGTAATAGTGAAAATTTAAGAGAAGCTCAGTGTCCAACAATAGGAAGTTGGTTAATTAAATTCATGTATTCATTCAGCAGATGTTTTATTGAGCACTGCTCTGTGTGCCAGGCACTGTTCTTTAACTGCACAAAGTATCTCTTCACGGAGCTTGTATCAGATGTGACATACCACACAATAGCAAACTGTAGTCACTAAAAGTTCTATTTTAGAAGAACGTTTAAAGATATGGGGAAATATTTAGGCGAGAAAATCCAATTCTAAAACCATGCATGGTAACCTAATTTTGCACAAAACGTTTACATATTTTTAAAAAACTGTGAAGGCTGTGTATACCAAAATGTCAATGGCGTTGAGATTACAGTTGACATTTTATCTTTGCTTTTCTGTATTTCTGATTTTTTTTTACATCAAAAAGTTACTTTTTAAATAATAAATGTAGGCTTTTTTTTTTAAAGAAACATTTTTTGACCTGGTAATTTTGCCTACCTGAAATTTATTAGAATGCAAATCTAGAAACAGCATATTGTCTAAACAAAGGGACCTGGTTTGATTAAATTATATAATAAAATCATATGTAGCCACTATCAATCATGTTTTGGGGGACTATTTAATAATTGGAGGAAACGCTCAATATGTGAAGAAAAACAGCTTAAAAACCGTATGCACAGCATCTTAACAATGTGTTTTTAAATATATGTGGATAGAAAAGGCTGGAGGGCTATAATCTTATACTTCCCCAACTTTCTATAGCCAGCATATATTGCTCTTTTGAAGAAGACCTTTGTGATACTTTTTGAAAGAGGGCAGGTAAGGCACACACTGAGCTCATCAGCAGTGGCTTTGTAAAGTGTCACTCACATTCTTGAATGTGTTCTCCGATCGCTCCCATTCCAGTCTGCGTGAGCCCCTTCCAGTTTTCGCATCATCCTCTTGTTTTAAAATATGTCTGGCTCAGATGGATTCACTCATACTCACCACTGATTATGTCTGCAGAGCCTCTTACCCATTGCCTATTTCCAGCGCCCCACACAATAGCCTTGTTTTTTCTAAAAGGATCCCAGACTCTCACGGAGAAAACATGACAAACACTGCAAGATTTGGCTTTCCAGTGTTCTAATTTTCTCAATTCTTTTTTCACTAAGATAAGCTGGTTTTATCCCTTTTCTCTTTTTCCTTAATCTAAATGGTTACTTTATCAGAATAGAAAAAAACAAAATGCTAATACCCTAGATAGATTCAACTAAAGCAAATTAGGTAATGAGGCAGAATGGAGCCCTGGGAATGACTATTGATCCCAGGCTGGCTGAGGGGTGGAGGAGCTAGGCAGGAAAGACACCTCACCTGTTTTCTACTGTTTCAAAGGTTACAGTGGGAAGAGCAAATCTAGTTTCTTAGCCAGGGTGGTAAATTTGTGTTGATTTTCCTCTTGATCAGCTATCCCATCCAAATATAAACCCCCATGGAGATGGGTTTGTCGTCTGTAAAAATGGCATGGTGGCTTCAGAGATCCTCTAACTTAAGGGAGAGAGAGGAGAATCAAGATCAGCATCTGCCCAAAGTTGATCCCTATGAGGTGGAGGTCAGACATACCTCCCCTCTCCAATCTTTTTATCAAATCTGACAGTAGCCATTCCTCACACGGCACTACTTCACTGCTGGGTTCAATAATTTGTTGCAATAGGCATACAGAACTCACAGACAATACTCATGATTATGGGGTTTAATAGGGAAGTGCCAGGTTACAGTTCAAGATGGGGAACGACTCAGGATACAGCTCTTTGGTCAGGACAGCTTCGCGGCCATGCCCATAGGCAGGCCTCTCCCTGGCCCTTGGCCTCTCAGCCCTTGGCCACTCGGGACTCCTGGGCCAGCCCTGCCTCTACCCTGCTCAGGAAATTGTTACAAAGCTCTTTAGCTCTACTGATAAGTGGCCAGAGGCACCCTACTCCACCAGGAAGCCTCCAGCCCGAAGGTGCTCAGCTCTCTCGCTCTGTGGGTCGGCATGGCCACTGTAGCCACCTTGCTCAGTGGGCCAGGAAGTCCACTGCGCCATCTCCTGTTGGTCTTCTGGTTCTGCTGCCACCATTTCTCTGCCACCATTTCTTGCTGTCTCGTGCCATCTCTGGTGTTAGAGCTCTGTCTCCTGGGTCTAGCAGATTCTCAGCACAGGGACCTCAAGTCCAAAGGATGCACTCTGCTCCCTGTCTGTTCTTGGTGGTAGTGAGGTCCCCTCTTTCTGAGATGGCTCATTTTAAGCCTCATGGGATAGCAAAACTGACCAGTCTCTCTGTTAGGGTTCCATATACCTTATTTGCATGGTCCCACCCCCACAAGGGTGCCATGCACTTTGTTTGCATTATTAGCAAGCTGTCCAATCCCCTTGGTGGGCCACAAGCACCTTATTTGCATTGTCCCACCCAATCATTTGGTGGGAGTTACAAGACCGTGGCGAGAAAGGCTATATGGAAGCAATCCATCGCACCACACCGTGTCTTAACAATAAAAATTGTTGAGTCAATGTGGTGCGATGGATCGCTTTTCTATGGCCTTTCTCGCCATGGTCTTGTAACTCCCACCCTGCCTTTGGAGGGTTCACAGAGTGAAATAACTGCCTAAAGGGGTAAAAGGAACATCAGTGTTGATGCTGTTGGTTAAGCATCAAGCCCTTGTTCTTTATTCATCAAACGACTATTTAGTGAGTGTCATGGTTTGAATTATGTCCCCCCATAAATGTGTATTTGGACTTTTAGCCTACTTTGACTATGAGGAAATAAACTTCTTTTCATTAAAACCATCCACTTGTGGTATTTCTGTTACGGCAACACTAGGTAACTAAGACCGAATTTGGTACCGAGAGAGTGGGGTGCTGCTCTAACAGATACCTAAAATGTGGAAGCGGTTTTAAAACTGTGAATGGATAGACGTGTGGCAGTGACAGAGGACCAGCAGCAGCAGAGAACCTACAGCAGCAGAGAAGCGGCAGCAGCAAAGAACCAACAGCAGCGGAACGAGGAGACCAGTGCGAGACAGCACTGGAGCCGACCCACGGAGCAAGAGAGCTGAGTGCCTGTGTGCGGGAGGCTTCCTGGCGGAGTAGGGTGCTTCCGGGCACTTACCGGTGGAGCTACAGAGCTTTGGAACACTTGCCCCAGCAGGGCAGATGCTGGCATGAGGCCCGAGGGCCAAGAGGCCACAGGAAACAGAAGCAGAAGCTGAAGAGACAACGGACACAAGAAGCTGAGCTGCCTTGGTCTCAAGAGGTATGGCCATGACCTCAGGGGTTTCAAAGGGTGGAGCCAAGGCCTCTGGTGTTTCTAAGGGTGGAGTTGTCACTCCAATGGAGTAGGAGTAAATGGTGCACCTAAAGCCAAGGGAGCAGAGTTGCTGTCCCAGTGGACCTGGAAGGCGGAGCTGAAGCCCAGGGCCGAGGGGCCTCCACTCAAAACCAGAGACTGTGGCCAATACCTAGAGTCTGGAGGGCAGGGCCATTGTGTAAATTGTCTCAGAGAACACAGGATTATTTTCAAAGCCTTGAGGGCTAATGTAATGTGTTCTGCTAACTTGCTTAGTGCCTGTTATGCCTTCTTTCCCTGCAATTTCTCCCGTTTGTAATGGAAATGTCTAGCTTGTGCCTGTTCTGCCATTGTACCTTTGGAAGCAGATAACTTGTATTCTAGATTTCACAGATGAAGAGGAATTTTTGGATTTTGGACTTGGAGTTAAGACTTTTGCTATGGTATGATGAGATGAATATGTTTTCCATGTTGCAAGGATGTGATTTTTGGGGGGCCAAAGGGCGGAATGTCATGGTTTGAATTATGTCCCCCAAAAAACGTGTGTATCAGTTAGGCTGGGCCATGATTCCTGGTGCTGTATGATTTTCCTGTATGTTGTAAATCCTGCCTCTATGATGTTAATGAGGGAGGATGGGTGGCAGTTGTGTTAGTAAGGCAGGACTGGATCTACAAGACTGGATTGTGTCCTGAGGCAATCTCTTGAGATATAAAAGATAGAAGTGAGCAGAGAGACAGGGGGACCTCATACCATCAAGAAAGCAGTGCTGGGAGCAGAGAGCGTCCTTTGGAGCGGGGTCCCTGCGCTGAGAAGCTCCTAGTATGGGGGAACACTGATGAGAAGGCCGCGAGAGAGAAAGCCTTCCCCTGGAGCTGACACCTTGAATTTGGACTTTTAGCCTACTTTGACTATGAGGAAATAAACTTCTCTT